ATTTCCGGCTTATTCGACGTGGAAGAGTTAGGAAAAATTGCATGCAACTAATGAACTTTCGTGTACTTGTCATACCTTTATCATAGGCGTGAATGTTAGCCCGTTGAACGTCCCAGTTATTTCTATCATTAGTATTGAACAGACCCCAGTCGAAGATGATGAATGTAGAAAGTTTGGCTGGTTGAATAGTAACCCACGAGATTACCAATTGTTACAATTTTAAAAGAGCTGATGTAGAGAATGAATTAAAGATAACCGACCATTCTGGAATTGCAACTCTCGGTGTTTAACGGAGCTGCCTTGCGAATCTCCGGAGTCGAGTCACATCGTGGGCCACCGGTCTTAGTCTTTAGAATTACTTACAAAAAGAATTGACCGGAATATGACCTTGTGAATGCCATCGTTCTCAAATTAGAATTATTCTGGAGTGGAACGAACATTCACCAACACAGAAGAGCTCAGATTCGGGGTCATTAGGAACACTAAGGTAATTATAACAGAGGCTGAGACGTCCAGCTAGCTTCTCATCCAATTAGCCACTCGTTCTTGGATCACCGGAACCAGATCACGTGTTCACGTATTCACTGATTGGCTCATTAAATGACGACTGCTCGGGTAGACGTTCGAATGACTGCTTCTCTGCTTTTAAGCAAATATTAGCTTCACTTGCAGAACGAAATCTCCAAACTGAAAAAAGTTATCAAATTTCCTCACTTCTTAATTTGCCTGTATCCAGTTCTCGCGGAACGAAAAACACGGTATCACACAGTATTTTGACATTAGAAACTGTCCAAAGTATTCTTGGTATAGTCATTTAGGCTATAAAGACTCTCCTAAGAAGGGAAAACCGCTCACAAAGTTGCATAACTTTTCGAACTTGTGAGTCGTTACTCCGATGGCTAGCTAGTATGTGACAAAGTCCACCGAGTGACTTGGTTGATGGATGTGAGATTTTATGTCCTTTCCAGTTGTGAGTAAATCTGTCGTTTAGTAAAGCTTGAAACTTTCAAGAGGAGTTCGTTTGTTATGATCTCTCCTGATATTCATCACACAGCCAATCTTGGTTCTTCAGCAAAGGTTGACTCTGAAGCCGCCGAGGCCATCGAATCCGAAGCACAGACCTAAATTTACTATAAAGATCCTTGGAAATTCGAAGCTCATGACTGAAGTGCCCTAGTTTCTACTTTCGGAGATGAACGCGTTCACTTTCATAAACTAGCAAGGTGAACGTGGTGCGTTTGTCATTATTAGAAAAATCCTCGTATAATAGTCAGTGTAAGAATTTCCTAAATATGGCCAAATATCAGATGTGTGAAGCCAAACTTGAGAACTAGCATAGGGAGCATGAGGGACCTTGCTATTCGCTTTGGTAACCGCAGTCTCCACGGACGGGGACCGCGGGACTAGACGAACCGGTGGACCCTGATAGATAGGGTTGTGTTAGGCATTCAATGGCGGCCGTGGATCAACGTTATTGCCTCCACTACGAAGCTCACAATTCCAGTCACATTGAACAAGCAGGACCAGTTGCTGTCGATTTACGGATTAGGGCATCGTTCCCAGCACGTGCCCCTCATTCCCCTGTTCTCTTTACCTTCGGCTAGAGAAGCTGGAACAACTGCAATTCGATGCACGGTGTGGGACCGGAAAAACTGACCTGAACTAAACTAAATCAGACTGAACTGAAATGAACTGAACTGAATTGAATTGAACTGAACTGAACTGAACTGAACTGAACTGAACTGAACTGAACTGAACTGAACTGAACTGAACTGAACTGAACTGAACTGAACTGAACTGAACTGAACTGAACTGAACTGAACTGAACTGAACTGAACTGAACTGAACTGAACTGAACTGAACTGAACTGAACTGAACTGAACTGAACTGAACTGAACTGAACTGAACTGAACTGAACTGAACTGAACTGAACTGAACTGAACTGAACTGAACTGAACTGAACTGAACTGAACTGAACTGAACTGAACTGAACTGAACTGAACTGAACTGAACTGAACTGAACTGAACTGAACTGAACTGAACTGAACTGAACTGAACTGAACTGAACTGAACTGAACTGAACTGAACTGAACTGAACTGAACTGAACTGAACTGAACTGAACTGAACTGAACTGAACTGAACTGAACTGAACTGAACTGAACTGAACTGAACTGAACTGAACTGAACTGAACTGAACTGAACTGAACTGAACTGAACTGAACTGAACTGAACTGAACTGAACTGAACTGAACTGAACTGAACTGAACTGAACCGAACTGAATCGCTGGCGTGAGGTGAGCCTAATTAAAAAAAATAGGCTGCAAAGATTATAAACACACCTCCCGAAACGAATTTTCACCCGCATTAAAAAGTGCCCGATCAATCATTCGGTGTCAAAAAGTTGAGCGGCAAATTTGCATAAATTAATGGTGTCAATTGACTCGAAACTGTCACCGCTACCGCCACCGCAAATGTGACCAAATATTTTCTAGGAGACTTTCAGTTGGTTTTTGATACGCTCGCTTGGACAAAGTACCCTAGAAGTCATTCGCTATCCACGTCCCAGAGTGATTAATCAAACCAGGGTGAGAATGGGTTTATTCAACCAAATAATAAATTAGTGCTTGAGAACAATGTGTGGTTTTGACCGTATCACACATTTTCCAATCTACAATTTCAAAAGGTCCGCGTTTTGTGTTTTATATATTCTTTAAATATATTCCGGTAGGTTGTTTGTAGAGATCAGAAGCAGGACGAGGGGTACTGAAATTAATGATTCCTGTTTGGATGGCCTCCTTGCGATATTTTGGTGGTTGGCCTCAAATCGATAGCGTACTTTTCGCTGTTTTTTCCTTAAAACAAAGCCAGGCCGAGTTCAGATTTGCGAATGAACGAGAAATGCATTTTTGCAGTGCAAGATGAAGTGTCCCAAAAGCTAAAAAGGGGAATAAATATCCCAAACTGCCAAAAATGATTATTAATTTTAGGAAAACGAGATTTAGGTACCTATAGAAGCGAGCTAAGCTTCACAAACATACAAACTACACAAGACACAGTAGAACTGCGGTATGTGGCTGTTTACGTGGATTCAATCGATACGTCTAACACCTCAAGACTGAGAGGGAAACCTAGTAGACACCATAAAAGCAAGTGCTGATCAAATGATTGAATTTGTTCAACAGTTCAGTCCGATTCATCCCAGTGGTTGAGACCTACTGGCCGAAGAGTGCGTGATTCGAACCCAACCTGAGCATCTAGACTGCTTCTGTGTGGGATTGGGCAACCTGGCAGTATCTCAAACCTCATGCTTCCACCCGATGGCGCGGCAGCTGGACACCGAAGAAGTATTAAATTAAACGCTTTTTTCGCTAATAGTTCCTCAGGCCCATGTAGTTCCTGAAGTTTTTTTCGAATGAAAGCCAATGCAGTCAACGTTGGAGAACGCAATTTCAAGTTTAGGACCTATCTAATATACAGTAGACACAATATTTGACACTGAAAAAGGAAGATGCCTATACTTACCTACTACTCACTTAACTTAACCAATCTGCTTTAGTCAAGTATGATTACAACTGAATTCTTGGAAGAATAGTATAAAGGATAGTGGTGCGCGGCAATGCTGTAAAGTGACCTGAAGCGATAAACAGAAAGAATATTGCATGAAACAGTTGAATAATTCGTGAAATCTGGGTTAGGGGATCGTAAAAGGGTCAAAGTCCCAGAGAGGTCCTGACATATCATAGCTAGAGAATGCTTTAAGAATCGCACCCGTAGACACAGTAATCGGCATGTGTGCCAGCAGCTGAGAAGAGAGAATGTGGAAATCCCTGAAATATTTGGAAAGCCGCGAAAGGATCTTCGAAGGACACAGAAGTCAAAGAGAAGTAGATTGTTTTATTCTCTGACTGAAATAACACTGCTTGAGGTCATGATCGAGGTCGCTAGGCGTACGGATTCCCAAGCCATTTGTGTAATCCCTGATGACAGGCTATACGAGCTAACCTCTGTCGTTCAGACATCTGACATGGTAGGTAGAACAACAAACGGGAGGAATAGGTGGCAGAAATTCTTTCAAAATGCCTATTTAGTTTGATGTGCACTGGATTCCACGGACAGAAAATGCGTCGACCGATTTCTGGAATACACCCACTAGAAGGCAAGGCTAAACTGGTTGGCGTTACGGATTCTGCTGCTGTTGCCTCCAAAGCGGCGCTTCACAACATGCTGCATTTCGCTGCGGCGATGGATGGTACCTGTGATATTGGACTGTTGTCCCCTCTCTGGTGCCTAGTGCTGGAGAAAGACTAGCGGGCAAGGAACACAACAGCTTCAGTGCGAACAAGCGAGAGAGTGCGAAAGCACAACGGCCTTGAATGGCACTGTTTTATTGGGGTTTGGGGGAAGTAAGTGTCTCAGTACGTATCGGATCTTCTGGGATCATCTTCAAGAATTTGAACTTCCTTACATCATCCAAGATGGCCTTCTTGAGAATGATTTACCACTGACGTGTCGCTCAGCTTTTCAGGCTTGTATTCATACCACAGTAAGTAGTGTTATGTCATTTGTGTAGAATCTGCAAAACTAAACTGGAGGGTTTGGGGAACACTCCGCGAAAAGTCGTCGATGAATCGGTCTCAGTAGACCCAGAGTCTTTTTTTGGGAAAGAGGGGATGAAGATTTAAGGAACCCCCCAGAATGAAGCAAAACGTTCAATTTTGTCCTGTTCCCGCAGATTGAAGTCAAACTTCCAAGTCTGTCCTGTTCTACAGTGAATGGTCTATCATCCTTGTTAGGAGATCGTGATTGTATAACATGGTTGGAACTAGATGAGATATCCACAGAGCTTTCCTTACAACAATAGAATAAGCTACGAATAGAGTAAAACAACGTTATCAGGCAGGGTCCGAAACGGCATTCCCAGAGAAGAACAGCGCTGTAAGGGGGGTTAAGAGTAACGCACGTGTCCGTCAGCTGGTACAGTTCTTCAAGGAACATTTACTTAAGTGAGAGGGTGTGGTAGCTATGATGAGAAGGGATATCACCTTAGTAACCCCAAATTCAGGCGAGATGAGGGGGTGGAGGAACAATTCATCATCATCACCATCATCATCATCATCATCATCATCATCATCATCATCATCATCATCATCAAAGACAGCGACATCAGTGTTGGCACTGATGCTTCGCCGCCGTACAACCATGTCGGTGTACTCCACTGGAGAAAAATGGGGTTTCGATATAACTGAGAGCCTTGCATCGAACACCCGAGGTGCTTACACCTCTAGCGCTCACTCAGACAGTCTGGATAGAAATTAATGGTTTGAACGCCACTCCATCGGTTAGCCGCAACACTTTTCAGTGTTCCCAGCCAAACAGGAGGACGGTCATATGGGCCTTCTTGGTAGACTGTGTTTCGGCATGCGTAGTACATGATAAAGCCATCGTAGTCGGTGGTGCTGGGTGTTCTCTCCAATTGAAGCACCTCCTACACAAACAAATACCCGCTTTCTAACCACCTCGCTGTTGACATGGTGACCCCATCCAAAAACAGTCACGCTTCTGAGGCATCGGTGGTCAAAAACCTGAGGACGACTCACATCATTTGTCCGCAGAGGCCTTGTCTCGCACCCATACAACAACACAGCCCTTACGGCACACACGACTCTTAAAATCTAGTGAGATGCCTTTTTGACGCCACAAGTGACGCGAATTAGCAAACGTGATTCGAACCTTTGAGATCCTTGCACTGATTTCATCAAACACACTTCCGTCAGAGCTAATGCAAGTACCGAGGTATCTAATGTTTTCCACAATCTCCAGTGATTGTCTTTGAATTGTAAGGGATATGTTCGCAGATGTCACGTTCTGAAGGAATTTGGCGAGATGATGGGGTGGAAGAACAACTGTATTAAAACATGTATATACCCCATATAATTTCTGCGAGTTTGCGTCACACTGGGTTTTAACATCCCGTGGTTGGAATAATTTGCACGAAACATTGTTCTTATGTTTTGTTGTATGAAAAGGTGATTTATGGGCCAAGTTGGCTGAAATGAAAAAATTCTGCAAAGGATTCCATCAGTCGGCGCATGGAGATCGACCCTGTCTACGCACCGCCAACTCACTGAGTCAAGCTCGGTCATCAAGCCAACGGACCAAGAAAAGGGACCCACACAGGAGGTTTACGGTCTGAGGCTTGAGGTGGTCAAGCCTCAAGGTTATCCGCACGTCCACCAATCAGAAGTCAGGTAAACCAAGAGACCAATTGGAATGTTCACCCAAGGTCGACCCTGCTGAGTAGACCGAGCATCAATCCATCCACAAGAACTACGCGCACTCCTCCACTCACAAAGCACCGGTGACGTCATCCGACTGATGCTGAAACCTACGCACCGAATTTTTTAGGTCAACGAAGAAGACCAACGATCATCATTACAACCTGATTTACTGACATTCATTTCGGTTGAAAAAATATTCTGTAGTTTGTTCAGCTGAGCGGGAAAAACCGGTACATCAAAGGCGGCTCAACATTCCACAATTCTTCCCGACACTCTCTCTCCCGAACGTTCAAGTCAGGTGGCATATCAGATTCACACAGAACACAAATCAGCCCGGCCCATCAACACCTTGGGGGAAGCTCGAATGGAATTTGCCAAATCGTCGATTCGTTTAATGCCACGGACAAAATGAACCTAATTTTCGTCAAAAAAGGGTTAGGAGTAATATTTTGCGATTTTTAGACGCTTTAAGATGATTTGAAAGTGCACTGCAACCTAGAAAAAGACTATTTTAGTTCAAGCAGCCGGTTCACTTGGTTTGTATGCGATCAGTCATAGGGAGAAGAACAACAGATGAGATCCAGGAAGGTTCAAAGCCTTCCGTTCAACAGTTTTTCGCTAATCGGTCAGATTGTTTTGAGCGAGCTTACAGTTCTTCCTTGGCAGCACCTGCCGGCAGGCAGCAGGAGCAATCAGGTGGACTCTTCTCCAGAAAAACAGGGAAAGACGTTACCAGTTCATTTATAAGGCAGCTTAGCGCGCACGTACCTGAAACGTTTACGCAGTCAGTTAGTGAAAGGTGCCTTTTGTAGAGCCCCAGACTGATGGATGACGTACTGACACGTTTCCTGTAGGTGTTATGCATTTCAGACTCTCTCATATAGAAATTTTAGTTTTGCGGCTACTCAAAGTCGATTGGAACTCGGACAATTTGGGACCATCTTTTTGTTCCGTTACCTCAGCTCTCATGACTAAGAGCTAAACAACCAGGCTTTAAATTATAGTGAGGCATGTACTACGAAACACCTGTAATGGGTTTTCATAGCTAAGCTGTACGGACTTTATAACTTGTATACATGTAACACACTACTCAAAAGGTTGCTGAAATAACTTCGGCGGCCCACCACAGTCCGCTTCCAGCTCATCGTGTGGGCGCAGCGTCCGAATTTTACCAACCTTATGCTCTACGTGAAGAACATCATAAAAGAGCGATTTAGCCAGAGTTTCCGTGAATTTGAATTGGTAATTAAATGAGTGTATTCCGCCCAGATTCAACTTTCGCACAACTTTTTAGATTTTCGGTAAAAACCACATGACAGGCTGACATTCATTCACGATTACCACAGAACTAAGGCACAAGTGACCTCTGATTTGTATAATTTTTTTCGTAAATTCAGGCGAGAAAACTTTTGAAAGTTATTGTTACATTTTCCAACTTAATCTGTTTTCAGTGGTTACGTTCCTTGGCAAAATAGCCCGATGCCAACTTGGTAAAACCAGTAGCACAAACGACAAACAACACTTGCTGAAGGCGTGTCGATTGTGGCGTTCACAGAGTCGTACGTTAGACGTGCTAGATTTTAGGGCCACTGAGTCAATCTGTCAAGCGAATAAAAACTGAAAAAGTGAACAGTTTACTTTGCCTTTCAAGCCTTTTCATGACTGCGAGTATCTGAAACATTTTGTTGGAAACCGTTCTACGACAGTTCTGGACGTTAAGTCGATTCCTGTGGAAGTTTTAACTAGAATTTCATCCCGTAATTGAATTTGTCCCGTAGTTTACACCTGACCACTTCTTGTCCAGTTGCAGTTCGTTCCGGAATTGCTGGAATTCACATTCATGCCACTGTCGACTGAACTGTTCTGTTGAAATTCTTTTGGTGAGTCCACATCAAACGGAGGGAAGAGAGGTTTGCTCTCCTCTAATCACATTCATCATAAACGGGAGTCGCTTCAAGGAGATTCGAACCATTGACCTTCTGATTAGTTGTTGAAAGCTGTCACTCGGCGACGAGCAGTTGATCACCGATCATATTAGTTCACATTCGTGTGAAGTATGGTACCAGCCACCAGTTTCTCAGGCTGTTCAACTCACGTGACTCAGTGTTGGCTGGCTCGTCAAGTAATGGTTTCTTAGATGGAATGCTCATACCACTCTCCGGATTTGTCCGCTAGAAAAAAAAACAAATCGCCTAGGCCTTTCTTCTGAACAACTATCATTCGAGAACCCAATCAATATCAGATGGGTTCACGTGACCTGAGCAGACGACGGACGTCATATCTTGCTTGAGTATGAGTCATCCTCAAAGCGTTCTTTAGCCGGTTTCATAAACTGACAATCAAAATGATGAGTGGCATGTGGTGACAGGCCCTCCTTCTTTCTAGAGCAATCTAAGCCGACGAGACATATGATGAGTTATTTGTGTGGATCGATAGTTTCAAATGTCCCAGGATGTTTGGCAGTTAACATTGGACAGTTAACATTTTTGCCAAAATAGCTTTTTCTGTATGAAACAAAATGTTCCAGGATGTTTGGCAATGACGGAATACCATTCACAAATGAGTACTTGACCTTGGACGGTTAACATTCTTGCCAAAATAGCTTTTTCTGTATGAAACATTTGGGGTGATATCTCTGGGGAAACCAAGAAGTAACCAGAAGTTTCATCTAATACGCAGACCGAGTATTTCGTACTCAATTAATGATAAAACCAAACCAAATTCTACACACTGAAACTAAAAATAGAAGGTTCTGAACATATTCTTTTTGATGACAGCTAACTGTTTGTGAAGAGTGGATCAAACCTGCTTGCTTTCGCACAAAACGAATGAAAAAATTGTGGAATCATGCAAGCAAATATCAATAAACATTACTTTTCTTGAAAAAATAACATCACGAATCAATAAACCAACTGAAAAAATTTATCATTGCTTGGTTTAAGTACTCGGAACAGGAACACTGTTGTTTTATTCAGGAGAAATGACTATCAGAGCGGACTGCACCTGAAGAATGGCTTTTTCGCGAAGGTTATCTCTAAGGGCACTAAAATCTCCAACATTCTACGTAAGTTTCTGTGGCAATCTGTGGGGATCTCTTATGCAGGAATAACGTTACTGGCTGCGGGGTTACCGATGACATCAGGTTCCACAGCCTGTCTAAGAACCGCTTTGTTCAAGACGGGCTTCACGCACCCATAGAGACTGTACTCTTCTCAGGACAAAATCCTGTTGCCGAGGATAAGGCGGTCTCCACTTTTATAAGGTTTCGGGAATTCTTAAATCACTTTCCGTCACTGCGCTGATTGAAACTGTGGGCAGCGCCTGAATCCACTGTGGATGCCGAAGAAAGACCGCCCGATTGGATTAGTTACGCCGCATTCATAGACACTGTTTAGGAACAACCAAGTTCACAAATTTACATCAGACATGTGTAAATCCACACAGCCATGGTTTATGCTGCGCCGTCAGTCTACTTACCTAAACTATGCTGATGAAAACTAAGCTCGCAACCATGAATGATAGACTCAGATTGTCCTAGGATCAACTCACACATACCGTTTTACAGCATTCACAGTCATTTAGAAAAATACTGAACGATAAAGCCTGCCCATCTACAGAAATGCAGCTCACTTCCTCAGAAAGCCATACAAACTGTCTTATTCCGAGAGATAGTGTCTGGTTACTCCTAAACAAAACGGATTACGTCCAATGGGATCAACTGCCCTTGGAAGGGGAACGTTCTGGATTACTCCTTTAAGGGAGTTGTTCCTCAGTCGTTCAGCTATAGCACCCTTTCGATGCCTAGCTGCCATGCCACAAGGGCTGGTTGGCACAGGCCTGGTTGCACAAGGGCTGGGATACTGCCAGGTTGCCCAAGCCTAGACAGGGGAAGTCGAGAGCCAGAGATTGGGTTCGAACCACGGACCTTCCGGTAAGTAAATTCGCGCTCTAACCACTTGAACCA